TTTGTTTGGCTTACCTTGAAATGATTTTTAGCTCAGCTTGGAGTTTAACTGTGCTGCTGTGAGACTGTGTGTGCGTGTGTGTGTGTGCCTGCTCGTATGTCTATTTGCTTTTGCCTGTAGCTGCTGTGGTCGTTGCCAAATGACGCATACGCAATGTTGCAGCCCCCGCAACCAGTTGTTGTTGTTGTTGCTGCTGTTGTTGTTGTTGAATAAAATTGCGTCGCAAAACAAAATGGAAATTCATGAAAAGCAGCCGACAGTTGGCGCCGCCCGAGTGTGGGTCGGTCAATCACCTGTGGAAAACGCAGACGCAAATCAGATTCAGCTTTCCTAGTTCCGTCTCTCCTCTCCTCAATTGAGCAGCGCTTAGAGCAACTTCTCGCTGCTGCCCGTTGACCTTGGCTTGAACCCGCAGGCGTTAAATTGACATTTGGCCGCAGATAGAATCTTTACGCTTCGATAAAGCCAAACGAGAATATTACCGCTGCGCTAAAAGCTGAAGTTGAGCGAAGTTACAGTTACGCTAGAAAAAACAGAAAGTGAAGGAGAAAGAGAAAAGCAAATTTTTAATGCTGATGATGATGATGTAAATAATAATAATTCGAATGCAAATAAAAATGAAAGAAGAAAATGATAATGAGAACAAATCATAATATACATTGTAAATATAAATATAATTATTAAAATTATTTTATATATATATTACGAGTCTATAGCTGAGTCTTAGCTGCCCTGGGGCATTTGAGCTGGCATCACAGTTTTTTCTATTTATTTGCCTTTTTCTTCTTCTACTTCGTTTGCATTTTTTGTTCGCTTTGACATTTGAGCCGCCTGTTCGTGGGCGTTGGCCACGCCCACACAGCCAAAAGAAATGACGCAAACGATAGTAGAAAAATGTGCTCAAAGATTTCATCTGTTTTGTTTTTTTTTGCCCCCAAAACATGAAAATCATGGAAAATGTGAGCTCTGAAAATGTCATGAAAATCGAGCAACGAAGCACGAAAATTCATTGTCATTTCATGTTTATATATAGATCGAATGATTTGATGCATTTCCTCCTGGCCAATGTCAGGTGAAATGTGTGTAATGCATAGATAAGAATGTCGAAATATACAGTGCATTATAGATTTGCATACTTATTATATAATAGATATACGAATTACGCATACGCCGCGTGTGCCGCGCGCTGTGCAGCCATTCGCATTGCATTTCAAGTGCAATCGCCTGTCAGTGAAATAATTAAAATCTTGTTGCATTTTAACAATTTCACAATGTTCGCACTCTCTCTAGAGAGAGTGAGAGGGAGAGCGAAACGGAAAGACAAGCATAATTAATGAACTCTTGCAATTCTGCGGCAAATGAAACGTTTAATAGCCGAGCCGAGCCGAGTCGAGCCGCGCAGCGCAAACAAAGCGTTTTGCTTCCTGCTTTTAGTATAATGCCAATGCCAATGCCAAAACGGCATTAAAGCGTAACTCTCCCTCCCTCTCTCCCTCTCTCTCTCTCTCTCTCTCGCTCGCTTTGTCTTTGTCACTTACTTAATGAGTCTCTTTCTTTCACTCTTTCTGTAGAGATTAGCTTTGAATGTCTGCATTCTTATTTATTATTTATCGTGTGCTTTAATCAACACAGGATTGAGCAGGAAACGGCATTTGGCAAGAATTTGTATTTAGATTTATGCGCTAATCATATATTGTATACTATATTCTATTATATAGTCACAGTTGAATTCTAAAGTGCAAAGGGTATATTGGCTGTGTTTACTATTATTAAATGCCGTTCGACTTCTAAGCTGTAAAGTAAGTTTTAGCTAGGCAGACTTATATAAAGCATATATACATGTACATATTCTTAACTATATTTGATTACATAGCAACTCAAGCACAGCAAGCAGCAGTGGCTACAACAACAACAACAACAACAGCAGCAAGAATTGTAATTTGAATACCCTGCAGCTGCTTTGTCTTTTGTCTGTTTGCTGTTGCTCGCAGCATAAAGTTAGCGCCCTTAACAAGCAGCCCCCTTAAAGCACACACAGAGACACTATACACTCTCTCACACACACACACACACATTTGTATTTGTGGCGCAATTTAATGGGCATTCAGTTTTTGTTGGTATTTGGGTCAGTTTGGCTCCAGCTTTGCGCGTTTTATTTCCTTCAGTGGGCTTTACATAATGAACCAACTGTGCGTGTGTGTGTGTGTGTGTCTAGTCTCCCCATAGATACGTGTGTGTGTGTGCGTGTATTTGCATTGTGTGTATTTGCACAGAGCATAATCAAAGCCTGTGCCCAGCAGTCGACGGCGGCGGGAGCATGCGGCGTATACGCAACATTTATTTTTAGCAAATTGTTTAACGACGCTTTTTTCCCATTTTTTATGTGCTCGCTTTTTTTCGCATTGTGCACAATTAAGTTTTGAGACATATAGCGCATTTAGTACGCTGATCTAGGCAAACAATTGTGGGCACGTTTCTAAGCACACTTGAGCCAACGAAGCAAAGAAGCAGCCAAAGCGGAAGTCGAGAATGGGAGATGAGAAGAAGAACGAAGCAACTTTGTTGCAACTGTATGATTTGTAATAAAATTTAATTTAATCTACATATTGTTGTTGTTGCTGTTGCTGTTGTTTTTGCTGTTGCTGTTGTTGTTGCTGTTGTTGTTGCTGCTGCGCTACTTATGCAATCAGCGAGAATAAAGCGAAATTCGCAATTCGCAAAATCATTTTTAATGTACGTGACGAAATCTGATTTCAATGCGGCCAAGAGAACACACACACATATCTATTTGATATGTGTGTGTATGTATATGCAGATTGCAACTACATCATACATGTATATTATTTATATATATAGCTCGACTATCTTGCAGCCAAATGCAATTTATCAACAGTTGGGCTTAAATTGTCTGCAGCGTTACGGAAAAATGATCAAGCGTAGGATGCGAGGGAGTCGCCATGGCCTTCCTCTCTCTTTCTCTCTCTCTCTCTCTGTCTTTATCTCTCTATGGTATGCTATGTGCTTGGCTAGCGTTAAATTCTCTAATAAGTGCAAATTGACAACAACAACAACAACAACAGCGAGAGCAACAAGAGGCGCAATGCTGCCTTTTGCATTTTAATTGAATTTTTGCTCGAGTTGTTTTGTTGTTGTTGTTGTTGTTGAAGGCAATTACGTTTATAAGCATGCTGACTATATCGAACGGGAAGTCGGCAGCTTTAGCAATGAGATATATGTATATATGCATAATATATATATTTATATCTATGTATATATGTATATTGCGTGCTGCCTGCATTCGTCTTGCTATATAGAATTAGCTGACACATGATTTTACTTGTTCCAGTTATGTTCTTGAGGCTTTTCTGATAGCATAATTCTTGTTACATAATAAGACAATTAGGCCTTAAGCAATTTAGTTGTCTACAAGTTGCTTGATTAGCAAAGCGAGAATGTCTAACTTATTTAAGGGAAAAATTATATAAGTAAATATTTGTATATTCTTGCAAATTATATAGATTTCAATCTTTTTTGCGCTAAGTTCCTTGTAAGAAAATAGTTTTTTAATCAACTATATTTTTACCAACGTTACGATTGATCAATAAAAGTAAGGAATCTTTTACATTCAGCTAATGTAAAATTTCTAGCTGAAAGTAAAAGCTTTTAAATAAATTTAAAGTGAATATTGTTAGCTAACTGTTATTGCTTGCCACATTCATAGATAGCTAAACAATTCTCGGTCGTAATATATACATCAATCTATAAGCGTTATCTAATTGGTTGCCAAATTGCTTTTTGCATAATTCGCATAGCGCAAGCACACTTAGCCCCAGCTCACATCCTCAATTTACCTGGTCTTATCTAGCTAGCTATTATCACCTAAACACCTACACACGCACATGGGCAAAGAGTGTAAGATAGAGAGAGAGAGGGAGAGACAGACAAATACTTGACATCAATTTGGGGCAGAAAAAAAGAGGAAAATATTGACAAACATTTCGAATGCGTGTTTTACATAATCAAAAACATGAATAACACTTGGACAAGAGCAACAACAACAAGCAACATATTCAATGTTGCAACAACATCAAAATGCAAATCTTTGCTGAAGCTGGCGATGAGCTGCAGCCTGCATTTTGGATATTGTCTGATATGTAATCACTTTTTTTTGCAACATTTTGTATAACAACTGCAATAACAACAACAACCGCAAGTAGAGGGCTAACAAACACACTCACACATATATTGATATCTACGTAGCGCTGTTTTTATGTTGCGTAATGTTAGGCTACATAATCGCGTTTTTTAACAGATGCCTCAGCCTTGTGGCTCTTAACAGTTAACAGCACAAGAGCGCGCATCCGTTGGTTGAAGAGCGCCAACATGAATTTACTCTTACAATGTTAACGCGCTGCTTGAGTGTGTGGGAGCAATGCGCCTTTCTAGAGCGCTGTTAAGTGCGGGCGCAACATGTTGCTGGCATTATTCAAATTAATGTTAAGCTAACAGTAGCACAGCTCGCAACATTTCATGTGCTAACAATGCTGGCAACATGCTAAGGCAGTGTAATAGTGTAACTAATGTTAGTTAACAGGCGCGTGCCGTGCTTTGACGGCAGCAGCGCTGTGAACGTCAACGTCAACGTCAGCGGCGACAGCAAACTAATTGTAAAATTTGCTATTTCGGCTAGTTGGGTGGCGGGGTGGGTGTTTTTGCTTGGTTTCTTTTATAGATATAGATGTATATTGTGTGTGTGTGTGTGTGAGTGTATATGTAGAAATATATATATATTTGCATTTGCTTGGCAAGCGATCGTCTCCAAAAACATTGTCAGATTTTGACATTTTCATTTTCATTTTCGTTTTAATTTTCTAGCCGTTTGACATTAAGTGCGCGATTTCGTTTGAATTTTCATTAGTTGGCGCCCATTAAGCAACAATTAGCATACAAGTTTTTGTTTATGAAATTCTCTAATAGTTTCTTTCTCTTCTTCTTTCTAGTGCCGAGCAACTTTAAGAGTCTCTGCTTGCGCGCTGAGGTCCTATTGAAGCTGAGCCACTATCAGAGCTCCCTGGCGGACATTGAGAATGCGCTCAGAACGCGCTGCACTTCAGCCAAGGTAAGACCACCCACTACAGTGAGCACTCGCTACAGTTGCTCATATTCAACTCTCCCTTGCAGGCTCACTATCTGCGTGCCTTGGCCCTGAGCGGCTTGGGCCGCTTGGAGGAGGCGTTGCTCAATGGCTTCTTGGCCATTTGCCTGGACAAAAACACAAATCTCAGCAATTCGGAAATCTTTCAACATGATCTCGCCAAGGTGAGTCCACAACTCTATTCTGTTTACAGTTAATTAATTGCTGCTCTTTCTTTCAGATTCTGCAACGTCTTTTGGCTCAAACGCCCAAGAGTCGTGATCCTCTGCCGTCGCTGGCTGCGCAGCAGCAACAGCGCAGCAAAGCACCGTACACTCTGCTCTGGGAACAGCTGCGTCGCCGCAGGAAACAGCATCATCACCATGTGCACCTGGACGATGTGGAGGACGACTTCAGCCTGAGCTGCGAGCAGCAGCACTACGACAACTACATCATGGACGACGAGGAGGAGGTGGTGGAGGCAGCGGCCATGGACGGCGACTTTCTGTTTCCCAGCGCGCTCGACTACATCGATCCGCGCCAGGTGTACGATCAGCTGCACAGCGCCAAGCAGTTCGAGCTGCAGGCGCGTCGTCGTGCCAGTCGCAAGCATTGCCGCAGAAAATGGGCAGCGGCGCAGGCAGCGCAGTTGACGCCAGCCGCGACGGTCGAGACGGGACGCTGCAGTCGTTTGGTCAGCGACGTCCTGGAACGCACGCAGCAGGAGCTGCAGCGACTGAGAAGTGAGTTATTTACCAAAAATTACTAAAAATACCAAGAAAATACCAAAAGGTATAGAAATGAAAATAGATGGAATAAATTTAAGTATGTTATGGAAGAGAATGTTAAGAATTAACCTAATATATATAATATTTTTAATACTAACAAAATAATTTTTTGTATTATTAAAATACTAAATATATAAACTATTTAATAGAAAATATAATAACATTAGATATACTACGAATTTAGTATGTGAAAAAGCGATTCATATCAAGCTTTAATTCTAATCAAACCTCACTCTCTCCTTCTTTCTCCCTCTCTCTTTCTCTCTCTCTCTCTCTCGTTCTCTACTACAGAATTGGATAGCTCGGAGCAGCGACAGGTGTCGGTGGGCAGTCAGCTGATTGATGCCAGCGATTTCGACTGCGTGCTCTGCTGTCGCACGCTGTGGAAGCCGGTGGTGACGCCGTGTGGACACACCTACTGTCTGGTATGCTTGGATCGTTGCATGGATTACAACTCCTCGTGTCCATTGTGCATGTCACCACTTGTGGAACTAAATGTCAATAATCTGTATCAGGGCTCATCCTCGCCAGTACCCTTTGCGCTGGCCAAGCGGCCAGTTACGAAATTCCTAGAAGCCGCAATGAAACGATTCATTCCAGACCACTACGAAACCAGATTTCGACAGGAGATCGACCAGGAGCCGTCGGTGCCCGTATTCATATGCACCGCCGCCTTCCCATCGGTGCCCTGTCCGCTGTTCGTCTGCGATCCGCGCTATCGCTTGATGGTGCGACGGGCCCTCGAGTCCGGCGACAAGACGTTCGGCATCGTCCAGCCGCACAACGGCAAGTCGCGCTACTATGACGTGGGCACCATTCTGGATATCAGGGACTGTGTGCTGCTGGGCGACGGCTGCTCCATACTGAGCACCATTGGCTGCAAGCGCTTCAAGATCTTGGCGCGCAGCGAAAAGGATGGCTATGAGACGGCCAAGGTGGAGTACATCTACGACGAGCCGATTGCCATCGATCAGGTGCAGTCGCTGGCCACGCTCCAGTCCCTGGTGCTGGCCAAGGCCATTGTCTGGTTCGAGAGTCTGAGCAGCGAGCAGAAGCACGAGATCTTCCAGAGCTATGGCCAAATGCCGCCGCTCGAGCACAGCTGGGAGCTGATCACTGACGGACCCGCCTGGGCCTGGTGGATCATCGCGCTGCTGCCGCTCTCCCAGCAGCTGAAGGTGAGTGCAAATTGGCAGAGAATTTCCATTTTCCTTCAACTAATTCCCATTCTCTCTCGCTCTCTCCTATCAGGTGGACATCTTGGCCACGACGTCGCTGATGAAACGTCTGCGTGCCATAGACAAGACGCTCGACTGGCTGCGCGAGCTCAGGCAGCGGCAGCCGCAACAGCAGCAGCAGACGCCGCAGTCGCAGTCGCAGCTGCAGCCGCACGATGATCTCAGCCTGGACTGCGAGGAGCAGGTGGCCGTCGATGAGGGGGCAGCCAACGGCGACGAGTGCTGCCTGTACGCCGAGCCACACACAGACGAGGAGCTGCTCGTGTAGTGCAGCAGCCTCTCTAATCATAGATCTAGCTTTAGTTATATATAGATGGTATATGTATGTGAATAGCGCTAGGTTGTAGCCGTAGTCGGGTGTCTAAAGCGTTTCTCAATGTGTAAAAGCAAATTCTGTGTCTAAAAGCCATTCGTATTACACTTTAACTGTTATCCTAGGGGCCAAAACGAAAAGGTATATATAGATCTATATATATATTTAACTTAGCAGAACCAAATTATCAGTAGCAACTGTAACTGTAACTGTTAGCTATTAGCTGTTAGCTGTTAACTTTAACTATAACTGTAACTGTTAACTAGCAATGTTAAGCAACTGTAGCTATAAATACTGTAAACTAAATGTGTGTAAACGTTGAACTCGATGTGTGTAGCAAATGAGAGAGATTTACAATATATATATATATAGTACTATATAACTATCCATATATCTGTATATACATATATGAGTATATATATACTACACATACAATCAAAAGTCGCGCCCCTAACAATCTAGAGAGCCACCCCATATGTAACTTGTTGAAACCGTTGTAAAACAAAAAAAAAACAAACAAAAACACATTCCAAAATCAAGTAAAACTGTAAACTAAATTGAATTCTCTGCAGCAAAAAAGTAACTTTAACAACAACAACAAGAAGAACAACAACAACTCATGGTTTCTACAACACAAATTTTTAAAGAGAAATACCAAAACTATGTAAAGGCCAAGAAAACTTTTTTGAAATGAATGAAGTGGAGAAAAAAAAAAGCAGAGAAAACTCCTTGAGAGTTTTTTTTTTTTTTTTCCTTAAATTCTGTTTCTTTTTCTTAGACTAAGCGGCTGGAACTATAAGACAATCTGCAAACCTATTTTTTCTTTGTTATATACTCTATATATATATGTATTTATAAACAAAAACTAAAAACGATAAAAAATAAAATAATAATAAGCAGCAGAAGAAGAGGAAGAGCGTGTAGGTAGAATTTCATGTTTTTCCTTTTGCAAACGATTTGGCTTTAGCTTTCCTTTCTAAGTAAACTCTATAGATGTCTCTTTCACACACACTCTGTCCCTCTTTCTCCTCTTTCTATCTCTCTCTCTCTCTATCTCTCTCTTTGTTAAACTATATATATTTATATCTGTATCTGTATCTAAAGTCCGCATTCCTATAAACAAAACACCCAAACACACACACACACACACACACGACAAACTTTAAATAGCAATTAAACTAATTTAATTAGCTTTAAGCCAATGCCTCATGCCTCATTTAAATTGTTTTTTTTTTGCTGCTCTTCTGTTTTTGTATTTGTAAAGCAAATGAATTTTAAAAACAACAATTTGCTTTGCCAGTCAGCTCATTTAACTACAAATATGTATATATATATATATATACATACATACATATATAATGGTACTTGTATATAGTTAGGACTTTGTTAAATTTACGCCTTATAAACGAGCATAAACAAGCATCTTCTTCTTATACGATCACGAATTTAATTTTAATACACACACACACACATTTAGCACCTAGCTATGTAATTTTATACAATCTAAAATTAAAAAAAAAAAAAAAAGGAAAAAATCTTTAAAAAAAAAACAGCAAAACGAAAAGAAATTTCAAACATAATTTGTAAACGTTTTTTGTGTCTAATTTATAAACGAAACAAATGAGAAAATAACAACAAAAATACAAATAAAAAGAATATCTTCGATATATAAATGATAAAAAAAAACTCAATTGATTTTTAATTCGCGTTTTTTAGGTCTTTTTTAAGAAATCAACTAAATAGGAAAACAAAACTTGTCACATTCGTCAAGTCAAAATTGTACAGTTTTTCTTCAACTTTTCTTTTCCTGCCCGTTAGATGAAGTGGGCGGAGTATATTGGCTTTATGTAATTTCTGTTGTTGTTATTGAGGTTGCCGTCTTGAAATGTGGGATATATATGTTATATATACTCGTTTCTCCAGATTCCCCGAAGCAGTCTTAAGAGTTTGTATGCTCGTGAACGCAGCAACTGGAAAGGGTATATAGGTTTTGCACTTTTAGCAATTCAAATTGGTTTATTAATATGAGCTTAATTGTAAATAAATGAAAATTTAATTTTGAAGTACTTATCTGGCGTACTCTCGTCTTAAATCAACATTTTTTTTTTTAAACTCATCCAGTATGAGCTCAACAAATTAGCAATTATTATATATACCCTTTTCGCAATATTTAGAATACATGTAATAATATAGAATAAAAGAAGTTATCATAGCTAGGGCAATATCTAGAGATAGGAGAGATGGAAAAAAAACTGAGGAAATACCAGAGGTTGGCATGTTATTGACAGATAATTCTATGTTGAAAGCATTGCACCATTAACAGTAGAAAAGTTCTTTATTAATAGATCCAAATTTACATGCTAGTCGTAAAAGAATGTAAGTTACAGTTATACTTTCGAGTTTCTTGGAATGATTTTCGATCTCTCTTGCAGCATATATAAACTACAATAATTTTACAACTGCCCATCAATTATATAATTCTTCTCTACAAACAAATATCCTATAAATAAATCCATATAATATCGAATGTCGGAGACACAATCAAATTCCTTATCAACTTCTATTGGCTTATCGCCGTAAGCGAGTATTATGCTGTCCGTTACGCCTCGTTGCACAATTCTGGCTTGTTTTTGTTATTCTTTTTGGGTTTAATGATATTGCAATGCATTCGCCTATGTAGCACTTAGCATCTGGCATCTAGCCTTCGACTTTGGAGTTCAACGCTACGAGAAAATGGAAAAGCCAGCTAGTAGAAGCATTGATAGTGCTGAAATGCAAGGCATACGATTTGCCGGGCTACGGTCCATAAATATTTAACACTTGCTCCGGTATATATATAGATATATATGGGCACTGCACTATATACAATCTCAATATATCCTGTCTTGCATAAACCCCAATAAAACTCGATAAACGAAATTCCGCTGTGCAATATGCAAATCGCAACTATTACTTCAGCATATTATAAATACCAAATATATAGAGTCCAAATCTGATCAAAATGCTGATTGATGAAACTTTCAAGTCGCATTTGCATCGATCATTTGATATGCCAAAAAAAAGAGTTTACAGAGTTCGTATATCTATCCCAAGTTACGAATCCGTTTTTAAGGTTATTTCAATGTTTCTTCTCCAAATTTTGGATGTCAGCTCTTTTGCGTCTATATCTGTGTGAGCTTCGCAGCTTCGTTTATGAAATATTCATAGCGCTCATTTGCATACGCAAAAGATAACGGAATGAAGATGCTGCGAGGCTCCAGTGAATGACTTATGGATGCTCTTAGAAAACATAAATATGATCGGGAGTCTTTCACTCGCAAAAGTGGAGTAATCATATTGTGTTTCAATTTTCTTGTAATATATCAGTTTCCTAAAGTTCAGAGTACAAGATTATTATCTTAAATAATTGATTTATGAATGAATTATATAAATGTATTCATCAAATGTTGTTTAGTTGTTTCTTTGAGATCCTCGTCTGTCTCGCTCTCGATCTCATGTATGCTTTTGCTTTGTCTCTCTCTCTTTCTCCAGCCTTACTCTGGGTCTCTCTCTGTCCTTATACATTCTTCTCTATCTCTTTTTTCCCTCTCCTTTCTTTTCCTTTCAAGTTTATCTACCAATCCCTTTCTCTATAATCTGCTTTGTCTGTGATTTTTTTTTATTTTTTTAAGGAAAATCTCTTTCTCTTATTTGTGTTTTGTGTTGTTTTCTCTCTTTTTTTCGTTCTTTTTGTATATTTTTCTTTATTTTCTCTCTCTCTCTTTCTCTCTCATTTTACTTTCTAATATAGTCTCTTATCTTCCCTCTTCTTCATCTGCTTTATCTAGCTGTTTAGTAATTTTTATTGTATAGCTTTACTCAGATTTTGTTTTATAAATAGAAATATATGCATAATAATTAATTAACAATTAAACTGGAATTAAGTCCGTTGCACGTTTACTGAATAAATATGCTTGCCGTCTGACTCGAAGGCAAAGGGTATGATTACTCTGTTAATGCCAATGGCAGCGCATGATAATTAGAGACTTCCGTCTGCCTTAACCTACGCCAAGATCGGCAACAAGACCCGGTGGACCTTGGACTGAGTCAGAAGAGGGGTAGTAGGAAGAGGAAGAAAGAGAGAGAGAGAGAGAAGGGAGAGTGAGAGAGAGAGAGAGAGAGAGAAAGAGAGAGAGAGAGAAGGGAGAGTGAGAGAGAGTTGAAGAAACGTATGCCTATCTACGGTGGCATGCTACAAGCCGCGTGGCATGCGTCCTTGCGCCAAGCATTTGCATGCGAGACTACCCTACGCCTGCCTGATAACTGTTAATGCAGCTGTAAATGTCAGAGATAAAGCAAAAGGCAGCCAGGCAGCGCTGTCCACGATCGTGTGAAAGAGAGAGGGAGAGAGCGCGCAGTTGTAATATTAAATAATAGCCGGGCCGACACGCTCATCAGCGCTAAGGCAGAGAACGTGCTGGCGCATATCGCGTATACGCGCAGTGTGCCAGCAGCGAGTGCCGGCTAAAGCGCCTTGTGTGTGTGTGTGAGCGAGAGAGTGACTGTGTTTGTGTGTGTGTGTTGAGAACGTTTAGCTGTTGTTGTTGTTCGCTCGCAATTTGGTTGCATTTCGTTGCATTTTGTGCTCGCTCGACGCTTATCCACACACACACACACACATACACATATACACACACTCAGCTAGTTGTTGTTGTCTTTTCATTTGTGAGCGCGTCGCAGCTTAGAAATTGCAATTCTCGTGTCGGCAGCGGTTTTTGGGGCCTTTTTCTTTCAGTTAGATTTTGACACGCGCAGCGACAACGAGCCCCAACAACGCGTCTCTCTCTCTCGCTTCATTCGTTCACATACAGTTCAGAGGCGCCACAGCGAGGGCCCAAACGTAATACTTGGCTATATTTATATATACATATATACATATGTGTGTGTGTGTGTGTGTGGATATATATCTGCATTATAACTCGTTTAGCAATGCATTCGCTCTATTCTAATCGTTGTGTCTAACGGACTACTAAACAGCTGTAACTCGATCGTAAATACGTTTTTAGCTCGCCTGATCAACGTGTGTGTGTGTGTGTGCAGGGTGTTTATGTGTGTGAGTCGCTGTTTTGGGTTGCTTCCTGCGCGACTTTTGGTGTTTGCTCAAATTTCCAAAAAACAAAAAAAATGTGCTGAAAACAAAAAACAAATAAATAATCCTATAATCAAATTACCAACACCAAAAAAGTGCTTGAAAACATAAAAAATATATGATAAAACCGAAAAAATATTCAAATTTGCTAAAAAAAAAAAATAAATAAAAAAAGAAAATATTTTTTAAAAATTATAAATTATAAATAAGAAAATATTTAATAAAAGCAGAGAAATTAAAAATTTGCTTAAACATAAAAAATAATGTTTTAAAACTATAAATTAAATTCTACACGCTTGGCTGTTGAATTTTAAGTAAACGAATAAGATTTTGTATTGTGTAATCTTAAAATATTTAAAACAAAAATGCTGAATCAATAAAAAATTTCAAGAAAATATTCAATGTGAAATGTATATATATATATTCCTGTGTGAGGTTATTTAACACTAATAAATAAAATATATGTGAAATTAGCAATAAATATTTATAAAATAAAAAATGGAAAAAAAATAAATAAAATAAAATACTAAATATAAATACTAAACAAACGCAGCAACAGAAAAGTTAATGAAATACATATAAAACAAAAATAGTTTCTATCAAATGAGGAACTTAACTGTTTGATGAATGGTTAGACCCGGGTGGGGGCACGCGAACAAACAGATAAATAGAGAGATTAGAGAGAATTCAATGAGAGCTAATCTAGAGTGCATTCAACCAAAAGTGTTTGACGTATGTCGTGCCCAAAGGTGAGAGCGCGCTAAATGGCGGCTTAAAACGAACGGCGAAAAAACTGTGACTGGACAAACAAATATTGAGAAAAAACGAATAGAACGTTATGCAACACTGGCAACAGGCCTGCACTTACAGAAAACCTGCAGCTTATTATGGGGTTTGGCTAATCAACTTTTAAGATTTGTTATAGTACTTATATACCTTTTTTGTCATTATAAATTTTAATTTTAATAATTTTCAATAAATTAAATTTTGTTATTATTATTATTATTATTATTTTTTTTTTTTTTTTTTTTTTGCAAACATTTGAATTTATATATTTGATTAGAGTTTGAATTTGAAAATCACATAGAAATTGCATTTCATAATTTTTTCTAATAATTTTTACTATAGATATCAAACGAAAATGTCAAGAAAAATCCAAATGTATGATATATTATTAATTTTCTGTTTGTTAATTAATTATTTCAACTTTTATTTGAAATTAAATTCACTGTCAGAGCCGTTTAGTTTAATGTGATTGAGCCGCCGCGTTTGCGGTTTTTCGATTCTCGTTTTTATTTGTATTTTATTTATTTTGCTGTTTGGGGAGGGAGCGCCTTGTCGATGGTTTGAGCAGCGTCTTTATTTTACTTTACTTTTATTATTTTGAAACGTCATCGTCAGCGTTTGAGTCGACTGTCTCACTGAGTGAATGTCAGCTTATGTGTGTGTGTGTGTGTGTGTTTTACCTCATGCGCTTCGCAGTGTGAGTGCGCGTGTGCATTCTGCACTAGTGGCTCTCAGTGTAACTGTGTGTGTGTGTGTGTGTGTGTACGATCATGCGCCAGGCAGCTAAAATGCCAGCGTAAAATCATTTTAATTGACAACTCGCAAATAATAAACAAATATGTTACAACTACTCAGTACACAAGTGTGAGCGAGAGAGCAAGCAATCAAATCTTCTCTTTCTCTTCGTATATATATGTATGTATATATAATTAACTATGTTCACTGCATGGCATTAAATGCAATTTGTCTGCAGCGATCTAACAATCGTCAAGCATTTTGATGGCTCTCAATCAGTATTGATCAATATAAAGAAAGATATGTTTTTAAAGCTGTGTTAAAATATTTAACTATGAATAATCATATATAAATATATATGTATTGACATGCATACATATATGTATATTTTCTAAGTAAAAATAAACATTCGACCGGCTTTTAATAATTTGTAGCTAATGGCCAACTGGCTGCATGCGTCATAAAGCTAAAAAAAAAAAAAAAAAAAAACTACTAGAAAATATTTAGTAATTATTATGGCGAAAAAAAGTAATAAATATAAACTTAAAATTTATATATGCATATATTTAAAAAAATATATATATATTATATAGAATTTTGTATATGTTTAAATAAATATGTATTTAACATTAAATAAATTAAAAATAAAAATTTGAATTTAAATTTAATATAAATATATTTAAACAAATAATTAAATAAAAATAATAAATACAAGAATTAATAAATTAAAAATCGCTTAACAAATTAAAGTTTTCTACTTAATGTGTTTGCTTTAAGAGAAAAATACTCCAAAGTATAATATAAATATTATTCTTAAAAGTCATCGTTAAACTATTATTAATGATGACTTAAAAAAAAGTAAAAGTTAAAAAAAAAACAACGATATAAAGTGAAAGCCTTTTAGTCCAAAGCTGCATCCGCATCAAAAGTGGAGATGAAGTGTCTAGCTAACGCTCGATTAAGTATGAGAAACACGCCGACTCATTTCAATAGATTATAATAAAATATAGTATCAAATATTTATAATACATATCTAGACTTGTCTATAAGTCGGTAAGCAGCTTCACATGGAAATTATCTGAGCGAGCAGAGATCAGCGCGTGTATGAAATGAAAAAGCCCTTAGCTATTATGTCTAGACCGAAGAAGAAAACAAATAAAAAATATATATGTATATATTGTATATGTATATGGAGAAAGCTGGCAAATCAATGAATGACAGACAATTGGCAAAAGATAAAAATAAAAAAAAAAATAGGAAAAATTTAATTAAGTCAAGTTTAAAACAACAACAGCAACAAGCAGAAGAGCGTCCACAATTGAGATGTCGAGTGTGAGAGAGAGAGGAAGAGAGAAAAGCAGTTTGTAATTGAATATGTGTGTATGTGCGAGCGAAACAAAAAATATTACAAAAGTCGCAAAGCTTTGGCAGAAAAAAGGCGGAACGCAGCAAAACAAAACACTGCAAAAGTGCTGTGGGTGCTGGCAGGGCGGCATTATCATCCACAACATACACAAACACAGACACACACACCGACACACCGACACACAGACACACACAGTGATACTATGCTGTAATCGCAATGCAATTAGCGCAGCCAGCAAAAGCTCAAGTTCACTGACAAAGAAATCAAACACTGTCACAAGCAAACACACACAGCCACAGTCACACACTAATACAGCGCTAGAGCAACTATGCGATAATTTGCGCACTGAGCGAAGCTTTAGAAATGCAATCAAATGACGTTCGCTGCCAGCGTGTGAGCGAGTGAGCAACGTAGGCAGACGTTGCACACGTGCTAGAGCGAGCCACAGAAAGCGAGTGAGAGCACGCGTTCTAATGCAAGCGTGTAAGAGAGCAGAGAGCCTAGAGCAGAGAGCACAGAACTTAGTGAGCGCGGCTCGGCAAAACAGAAAGCTTTCTGGCATGAGTAGGTCAGTCAACGATCTTGCGGCTGTAGTTGGCAACCGGCTTTGCAAGCTCTCTGCTTCCGCATTGCAAAAGAGGCAAAGGAACAACAACATCAAAAACAAATACAAAACGTTTATCAATGCCAACTGAGCATAGTATAATAGCAACAACAAAATGTTGTCTAATGGGGGTGGGAACGGGAGACACTCAGCTGTCGCAAGCTCTGCTAACTATTTATTTATTTAGCTTAGCTTGGCTAGATTTATTATGCAATTTTCTTGTTAAGGTGAAGGCGAATGAATTGTGAATAGCTTCTGTGTTGGGTTTACTCTATTTATAGGCAAGTTTAAACTGTATGCCTCATTGAGTTGATGTAACATTTATATGATGTAACATTTATATGGTTGTTTGCCGACATTCAATTTGAGTTAACAGTTTAATTTTTTCCTTCTTTCTCTCTCTCACATAGATGTGTATTTTCTATATAATTATCTGTGTATCTGAATTCCACTCTGTTTCTTTTTATCTCTTTCTGTCTGTCTCTATATATCTTTCTATTTACTTGCCTGTCGTTTTCCATTCTTCCATTCTTCTTCTCTCCCCAACTGCATCTGCAGTTCTTTAAGCTCACAAACTAGATCATTAAGTCATATCAATCATTCGCCTATATAGTTGTCAAATTTGAGCTTTAGTTTCCTTGACCTATGCACCACACTCACCCGCTTTGTAATCTTTGTAATCTTCAGCCACTCCCTCTCTCACAGTCTCAGCCTTCTCTTAGTCTATTGGCCATTGGCAGGCAACAAACCGCACTAATTGCAATTCGAGCTATTAAACAACACGTTGGCAATTATCAGCGGTAACAATTTTGTGTGTGTGTGTGTGTGTATTTTTTTTTTTTAAGCTGGGCAAAACCACACAGCACGTAAGCTGAACCCAACCAGTTGCTAGAGCCGCAGCAACAACAACAGCAACGATTGCTACTTAGGGTTAACCAGCCAACACTTGCAACAACAAGAACTTACCTGTCGCCCAGGTGGAGCTGGAGGCGGAGGTGGGCAAAAGCTGTCGGCGTTGTTGGCTTTGATGTGTATTTAAAATGTTTGTTGTGCTGCAACTGTTGAATACATGTGGGAAATTATGATTCGTTAAATGCTTGGCCGGACAAATGGCTAAACGGATTAATTAAACAGCAGCAGCCAGCACACGCACACACACACACAGATACACAGACAGTTGCATGTGTGTGAGTGCGTTTTAAGCCGCTTGTTTTCAGCTGTTTAAAGCCGTTTGCCGGCAACGCTTTTAATTAAGGCAACAACTTGGCCAGCTGCAAAGCCTGGCAAATGCAAAAACGACTTCGCAACAGCAACACCTTTTCTTTGACATTTTCTTTTGGCCAACGACACACAACCACACACACACACACACTGAAAGCAGTGAAAGTTTTACTCAGCTCGAAGCCCCAGCAATATTTTGCAATTAAGCAAACGATTGTTATGCTGCAGATGCTAAAAAGCGCGAGCAGTTGACTTAAGCCATTAGCATTCAATATATACGGTATATATATATATATATCACCTGGTGGAAAATGTAGTGTCACACACACGCACACCGATACACACGCGCACTCATACACACGCATGATTATGCAATATGTGTGTAAGGCACGGGCAAACGCAGCCAATTGGTTGGCATTTGGTTAGCAGCTGCTATACCCACACTCACACACTCGCACACACACACACACTCACATAGTCTGTCTCTGCACTCATACAACAACAGTTCATTTAAAAGGTTGTTATGGCATTCGCTGTCGCATTTAGTAACAGGCGCAAAATAACGTAGCATACTTTTTAGGGGTTGCAAAGTGCAGCATCTGCCACGGCTGCAATGATTGGCGCTCGGCCGCTGCCCATTGGGCACAGGGCACTAACTGCTGAACATATGCGCAGGCGCAGCAGAGAGTTACGTAATTGCAGCAACAGCAGCAGCAAAGGAAATTTCTTGATGAAGGATGATGCGGCTGCTGCCAACAGCATAACGCTGTGTACAATGCCCTGATGTATGTGTGTGTGTGTGTGTGTGTGTGTGTGTGTGCGGAGAGTGTATGTGTATGTGTGTGCGCATTGTGTCGAGAGCTAATATTCATTGAAAGGCCAGCAGTAGATGTTCAACTGCACTTGTTGCTGACGGTACGCGAAATTCAGCGCATTAAAAATACTAAAATAAAAAAATCAAATATTGAAAACAAATTCATTAAAGTATATCAAAATTAACAAAACAAAATTGTTTTAAATTTCCAACAGCTCAAAGCTAACTGAAAAATAAAGAATACTTACAAAATGTGTGAAATATTTAAACAAATGGAACTCAGCTGCCGTGTGAATGTCACCTAAACGGAAGATTCAAGTTCAATAAAGAAATCTTAAGAAATTAAAAATAAAGAACTATGTAAATATTTAAATTGTGGACTGAACAAATTTTTAGTGCAAAGGTGTTTTGTTTTTTTTTTTTTTTTTTTTGTTCCTTGCATTTCGTAATTAAATTAAAAAATATATAAAAAATATTTAACAACAATCTGGAAGTGGATTATCTAATAAATACGAAAATGGACGACGAAAGCGATGATAAGGATGACACGAAAAGGTGGGTAATAAATATATATTATAAATAAAAAATCATATACATACATATATATGCATTCATGTGAGCTACATCACAAAACTGATGTGGGTGGGCCGCACTGCAATTGACAGTTATGATTTAAAGACGTAGACAAAACAGAAACAACAACAACTGAGGGAAAAACACAACAAAGTGAAACAAACAAGTGGGCATAATTATTTGTGTAACGCCAAAACTAGAATACTCTGTAGAAAAAGCTTTGCATGAGAAGCTTTAGGCGAAAGCTTCAATTTATAAATTCTTCTGCTTCTGTATGATATTATATTTTTAAGGCAGTTCCACTCCATTTTACTTCATATATTTTGATATAACCGAAAAAAAGCTTGATTCTATTTATAGTAATAGCGAAGTTACACAAGATTTGAGAGTTATTTTTTAGGTATACGAGTATATCGATTTTTTGGGATATACTAAATTGTTCAAGATATTTCGAGAATGAACCAAATGTTGTTATACAAAATATAAAGTGATCAATATTATGCTTATATGTGTTTTATATATTTTATAATATATAATATATGTATATGTATAAAATAATATAATATAAATATGGTAAAAAATAGATTTTTGTTTTAGCCATTATGAAATAAATAATTTTTCAAAACTTTAATTTTTATTGTAAAAAAAAAATACAATGGAAGAAAAATATTTGAAAGGAGAAGCCAAAATTTAGCCGACATGTTTTTTAAATATTTAAAAAAAATGTAGGATTACCCTAAAGACGCTTCTACTATATATAAAGAAGAGAACTTTTGCGAATGTAACGTTTTTAGTTCGAATAGGGACGTTTTCCACAAACAGCCTTCTCTAATTCTCCACTTTTAGCTTTTCAAAGAATTTCACAGATATTTCGTTTGCTTCAATTATTTTTTACATCTTAGCTAACTGAATTATTAGTATTACTATAAGTTTTTTTTTTTTAATAATTTCCAGTATTTCCAAACATTATCAGATCTAAATGAAATTTTGCATAAGTTGAGCAGCCTGAAATGTTTGTTAATTCATTTCGTTTCGTTTCTGGTTATATGTTTGCTATGTCATAATCGGCAAGAGCTGCCTTTTCCCACCCTTCTGGCCCCGTTCCACGGCAAAAGACTAAAACACAGACGAAAAAACTGGCTTAGTTGGCAAATTTTGTGCACACTTTGTCCAGGTAATAGACACCTTTAATAATCGAAAGCGAAGTAAAGTCCAATTCCGAACTTTAATTAACTGAAATTTGAGCGTTATTTGTTTTTTGGACATTCACCGAATTCGTTATGTGTCTCTTTTTATATAAAAATATATATAGGCTTATATATATATATTGTAATTATGTTTGATAATAATTGTCTTTTTGTCTTGGATATTGTATAATACTATGTAAGCGCGCTGAGCTTGTCTTGCAATCAAATAAATATCAAATTAGTAACTCTAGAGCAACGAGAAGGGGAAGGGGTGAGCAGAGGCCGAGGCAGACAGCCAAGAATTAGGTTATATGAATATAAATATGTAGGGAAATGCAAACAATAAGAGTATATACATAACATATACAAAACTTATATAGTGCCTCGCTCGCTCTCTTTCTCTCAGTCTCTCTCTCTTTCCCTCTCTCTCATGCAGGAAAGGTCTTTCGACTGGTCTGTGGTTAATGAAAATTGCTTTGAGAATTCATATTTCCGAAAAATTTTGTTGAGCTGCAAATTATGAAAGAAATTGCTTGATAAACAAATAAATAAAATATATACATGCATATTAAATTTTATATAACAATATTTGTAAATATTGTATATATTGACATACATACATAAAGCGATAAGGAAATATCATAACTGAAAATTATATTTATGTGTTGGTGAAGTTAAGGATAGGTAATGGATGGATATCTAGAAGATGTGTATGAAGAAATTTGAATATGTGAATTGTATATATAATCAACAGATAGGCAGAAATTTAAGCTACATACATACCTATATCACATATAAAATCATAGTAGTATATATTCAACAATATTCATAATTCACACGAACTTATCAAAGCAACGTTTAAGCGGAAAGCTGAAACTTTCCCTGATTGGCTAATACGTCAAGTCTGGCAAACACACACAAAAAAAAAAAAAAAAAAGAAGTAAATTGTATCTAAATCCGTTTAATAGACTAACCGAGTGAATAAGAGCTGACTAAGCCAAGGTAACTGCATGCTGTGGCATGAGCTATCCTGTTGGCTTTTTCTTGTCCTCTCTTGCTCAATGGGTTCCAATTCCAGGAATTGACATAAACAACTAGATAGCTAGCTTTCTCTCTCGCTCTCTCTCTCTCTCCCTCTCTCTCTCACTGTCCCATTCCCATTGCATTGCTTCATAAGTTGCTCTGTATGCGTCTCATTTTATTGACACGCAAATGTCAAATGCAAAACTCGATGCCCAAAAATGTTTGCTCTAGCGCAACGAATGCAAAGCGACAATAGAACTGACACACACAAAAAATAGAGAAAGAGAAACCCCGCCCACAGGCTCAGATACAGCCTCAGACACAGTCAGATTCAGAGTCACAGGCACAGTTACAGCTACGCAACCAAATGCAGCCCACACCAACCCAACCCACCCCACTCCACTCCACCCACTCATATCAATTGCCTAAGCATGTGTGTGAGAGCATGTGGGCGGATTTGTCTAATAAACGCCAGACAAAGCATCAAGCGCACCACACACGTGGGCCGAAGGTGAGCAGCTGTTCCTTGTGTGCGTCAGTGTGTGTGTGTGTGTGTGTGTGCGGGGGTTGGCTACTCATGGGAATCCTTTTACAGTTGAGCTAATCTCAGTATGCCTCCCTGCCCTCCCCTTTTATGATTTGCCGTTATCATATATAGTTAATCTTAACATCGTTCTCTTTGGTTAACCCGAAGTCTTCTTTGCAGAAAGTCCCGCAATTTGAGCGAGAAGAAGCGCCGGGATCAGTTCAATTCGCTGGTGAACGATTTGAGTGCATTGATAACCACATCGAATCGCAAAATGGACAAATCCACAGTGCTCAAATCCACAATAGCATTCCTAAAGAATCACAATGGTAAGGACTTGGCAATGAAGATGAAAATCAAGTGGAAAATCTATTGAAAATGTCTCTTTCTTTTCGTTTTGGACCCACGTAGAGGCAACGGACAGATCGAAGGTCTTTGAGATCCAGCCGGAATGGAAGCCCACGTTTCTCACAAATGACGAATTCACGCACCTCATGCTGGAGTCTCTGGATGGCTTCATGATGGTGTTTAGCAGCATGGGCTCCATATTCTATGCGTCGGAGAGCATTACCTCGCAGCTGGGCTACTTGCCGGTAGGTGGCGCCACCTAAGCAAAGGGAAAACCAAAATTCACCTCTATTCTCTGTCCCTTCAGCATGACCTGTACAACATGAGCATCTATGATCTGGCTTACGAAATGGATCACGAGGCCTTGCTGAACATCTTCTTGAATCCCACGCCCGTCATCGAGCCCCGCCAGACGGACATCAGCGCCAGCAACCAGATTACCTTCTACACGCATCTGAAGCGCGGCGGCCTGGAGAAAGTCGATGCCAACTCCTATGAGCTGGTGAAATTCGTGGGCTACTTTCGTAGGTAGTCGAGCAGTCGCACTCGAGCCGAGTTACTTAAACTAAGCTCTTCTCTATAGGCAACGACACCAGCGCCCACTCGGACAGCCCGAGCAACAGCAGTCAGCTGACGTTGCCGCGCATCTTTCAGCAGCATCCGGGCGTTGAGCTGGACAGGAAGCTGGTCTTTGTGGGCACGGGACGCATACAGACGCCGCAGCTGATACGCGAGATGAGCATCATCGATCCCACCAGCAACGAGTTCACCTCGAAGCACAGCATGGAGTGGAAGTTCCTCTTCCTCGACCATCGGGCGCCGCCCATTATCGGGTACATGCCCTTCGAGGTGCTGGGCACCTCGGGCTATGACTACTACCACTTCGACGACCTGGACAGCATTGTGGCCTGCCACGAAGAGTGTAAGCAGAGACAAGATCCACCAGTTAAGTCAAATTCTAATCCCCAACTCTCTCTTCCTCAGTGCGCCAGACGGGCGAGGGCAAGTCCTGCTACTACCGCTTCCTGACCAAGGGCCAGCAGTGGATTTGGCTGCAGACGGACTACTACGTGAGCTACCACCAGTACAACTCGAAGCCGGACTACGTGGTGTGCACGCACAAGGTGGTCAGCCATGCGGAGGTCATCAAGCAGAGCCACAAGGACCGACAGAAGCCCACCAAGCCCCTCAACTCCTCCAGCAGCAGCAAGTGCGCCTCGGCGACGACCACGCTGCGCGACTTTGAGCTGGGCAACCAGAACCTGGACAGCGCGCTGCTCGGCAATACGCTGGCCAGCCTGAGCAACGAGGTGGCCGCCGCCACGTCGCCCACTGTCGACTCGTCGCCCATGTGGTCGACGGGCGCGGCTCCTGCTGCCAGCACCTGCCAGCTGAACTCGGTGAAGACGTCGCGGCCCGCTTCCAGCTACGGCAACATCAGCTCCACGGGCATCTCGCCGAAAGCCAAGCGCAAGTGCTACTTCTACAACAGAGGCAACGAGTCCGACTCCACCTCCATGTCCGCAGATTCTGTGATCAGTCGCCAGTCGCTGATGACGCATGTCAGCTCGGTAAGCAAACAGATTTCACCTGGCTTATGGCTCTATCTCTATCTCTGTTCCTCTACCTTGCAGCAAAGTCAGCGGCATCGTTCGCATCATCAGCAGCAACGGCAGCAGCAGCAGCAGCAACAACAGCAGCATCAGCAACAGCATCCGCAGCAGCAGCAGCAACAACAGCAGCAGCAGCAGCAGCAGCAGCAAAACTCACACTCTCAGCAGCAGCAGCAGCAACAGTTGCAGCATCAACAGCTCACCCAGCACCATCTGCACCAGCAACAGTTGCAGCTGCAGCAGGGCACTGCTGCGCCCAAAATCCTGCCCATGCCGTTGGCAACCACCCAGATTGTCACGAGCAACGCCTGCCAGTTTCCACAGTCCAGCTATCCGCTGACCAGTCCCCAGCTGGTGGCGCCCAGCTTCTTGGAGCCACCGCAGTACCTCGCAGCCATACCCATGCAGCCGGTGATGGCGCCGTTTCCTGTGGCGCCAGTCCTGTCGCCGTTGCCCATGCAGACGCAGTCGGAGCTGCTGCCGGGCGCCGTTGTCATGACCTCCACGCAGAGCCAGCTGCAGGATCAGCTGCAGCGCAAGCACGACGAGCTGCAGAAGCTGATCATGCAGCAGCAGAACGAGCTGCGCATTGTCTCCGAGCAACTGTTGCTGGCGCGCTACACCTATCTGCAGCCCATGATGCCCATGGGCTTCGCTGCCAGCAACATGGCCGTTGCTGCTGCCGCCGTCGAGGGCAACTCAGCCGGCAACCATGTGCAGCGCAACTTCAACTTCAGCGGCAGCAATGCTGTGGAGCCTCAGTTCAATCAGTATGGCTTCGCTTTGAACTCGGAGCAGATGCTCAATCAGCAGGACCAGCAGATGATGATGCAGCAGCAGCAGAATCTGCACAATCAGCAGCAGCACAATCACAGCCTGCAGCAGCAGCAGCCGCAGCAGAGTCAGCAACAGCTGCAGCTGCAACAGAGCCAGACTCAACAGCAACAGCAGCAGCAGCAGCAACAGTTGCAGCTGCAACAGCACAGCCAGAGCAACATATTGTCGCGGGAGGATATTGAGGACATCGATGCCTTCCTCAATCTGTCGCCGCTGCAGTCGCTGAATCAGCTCAACAACAGCAATGCCAACAGCAATGCCAACGCCAGCGGCAACAACAACAATGCCAACAATGCCAGCAATAGCAACAGCAACAGCAACAACAATGGCAACAGCAACAACAGCAACTCCAACACTAACAACAACAACAACAACAACTCGAATGCTCCAGAGAACACAAATGAAGACTCGCTGCTCTCCTACATGCAAATGGCCACCGAGTCGGGCGCCTCGCTCAACTTTCACATGGGCATCAGCGACGACGGCTCCGAGACGCACAGCGAGGACAATAAGTTGATGCGCAGCACCAGCAGCAATCAGCAGCAGCAACAGCAGCAACAGCAACAGCAGCAGCAGCAACTGTTGCAGCCGCAACCTGTAGTGGCGCAGCAACTGTTGCAGACGCAACAGCAGCAGCAACAACAACAAAGCAACTTCTTTGCTGCAAATCCCTTTGGCAGCTCGACCCAGAGTCAGCTGGCAAACGATCTGGAGATCCTGCCATATCCAATCGGGCAGGAGGAAACACAAAGTCTGTTCAGCTCCCCCCACACTGCGAACAGTAGTCAATAGTGCAAGTGGGCGTGGCCTGGCTGAGCTGACCAACCGAAATTCCTTAAAACTTAGCCATAGACAAAGACATAAATATATATAAATATATATAGATAGATATAGCTAGCATATATATGATATATAGATATTTAGTTATTTAGGCAGCTGTATTATATAAATCGTCTCTAAGTCCTACGGCACACGGCTCTCTCTTTAGCGTACATAGACAATAGCCACAACTAGTTGTAGATCTCAACAGACTGAGTATTGCGCTAATCCTTAATTCACTCTAAATCTATATACATCTAAATATTGATTATATTCTATATATAAGCTTTATATTATTCGTACTGTAGGCTCAAGTTCTCAAAAGTTGAGTTTTAGCTTTAGTTTAGTGAAAGATCGTTATAGATAAAAAATAAAAAAAACAAAGCAGCCCAACGTTTGCAATTAAACCAGTAAGTGCCAATGCCGCACACAAGGGATCTCTCAGAATTACATACACACACACACACACACATACATTTCCATGTACATATAGTCAAAAGCAAGTAAAACAAAAGAAAACTTACAAATACCATATCATTCCGTTATACATATATACATCTGGAATATACATACATACATGTGTATATATATGTATATATATATATTATTTTTAAAGACTGCGTCTCGTTTTAAGCTAACGATATACATATCTAGTTGATAAGTCGAAAACTCAGGTTGAGATTGCAACTGAATTATTTGCTGTGAACATATTCAAATATTAAACAAAAAAACAAAAACAAAATACATTATTTTTTGTTCTTATTATTTGATAACTCGAAGTTCTGTTATATACATATATAGAATCTATAGATAAACAGAGCTGTAACTGTATTAAAATCTGTTTCAGTTATGATTTTTTTCTTACTTTGTATTGGATATATCAATGTATAACCTATTCACATTCCCATTCTATGAAAGCTGATAAAGAGCCAAATGCAAAGAGCTTAAATCATAAATAAATATATTTATATAGCATATATGTATATTTACATACATCCATATGAATTGGCTTTCAATTAGTTGTAATTACTACCTGTACATGCCTATACAAACTAGTTAAAAATCCCCCTAAGCCTGTAAAAAATTGTATTCCATAATTCTTGAAGATATGTGTAGATAATTCTATATAAACTATATGTATATAGTATAGATCAATAATTCAAACACACGTGTTGTAATAAACAAGAGGTGAAAAAGAAGAGTATATTATACGTTTTCATACATATATGGTTACAGAGTAGCATAGGTACATATATATTTAGAGAGAGAGTGGGGATTTCTTATACTTAAAGTTCGCAATCTAAACGCGCAGCTTGACAATCGCATTCTGAAGTATTTGGAACTCGGCATTGATGTTGTTCATCAGATTGGAGATTTGATGCTTGGAATCGAGCACCTCCACGCTCTGTGTGTAGGCATTGTAGCGCACGCCGAAGGGGCGGGGAATGGAGTTGGCAAATTTACTGCAAGTAAATTGAAATTTGAGATCGAAATCGAAGTAACTATCATTAATATGATCCCAACTCACATGGTCTTCTCTTTGGCATTCTCGAAGCTGTCGGCCACATAGTAAAGCGGCTGGAATTGTGTAATGGGATATTTGGTAACGCCCGTCACCTCCGGCTCAAAGTCCTTCAGCTGCGGCTTGTCCGTCAGGCAATACTCCAGCTCGCCGTAGGACGAGAGCAGACCAGCGCCAAATGCCTTCAGCTCGCCCTCCTGACGGCACAGGCCGTACTCCACAGTAAACCAGAAGATCTGTATGAACCAAAGTTAATTAGAGAGGGAGTGTGAGAAAGAGAGGGGGAGGGGGGGAAGTAAGTTAGCCAACTTACCGTGGATAGCTTCTCAATGTAGTCATCAGGCGCTCCTAGAGAGGCCAAGCCAATCTCCTGGCAGAACTGCGCAAAGGCTGGATCAGCGAAGAGCGGCACATGGCCCAACAGCTCGTGGCAGACATCCGGCTCGGGTGTGTACATGGGCTTGCTGGGATGCCTAATATACTGGGTGGAGTGGAAGACGCGGAAGGCCAGGCCCGCAAGGAAATCCCGAGAGCTGAGCAAACCAGCCACAGGACGCAGAGTGAAGCCCGTGCAATCTGGCAATGAGGAATCGTAGTTTAATAAGAAGGTAAAAGACTACGTAAAATATACCTTAGATTTACATATAGAGAGAGGGAGAGAGAAAGAGAGAGAGAGAGATCAAAATATATATCAATTTGTCCTAAGGGAATATCAAACATCAAGTCTCTTTCTCTCATAGAGATTAGAATCAGAGCAGTCATAGGCAGACAGCTCGATCTATAGCTCATTCATCAGACCTGGAATATATTCAGTGCTCGACTTACCCCTCAAGAAGTTGGACACGTCCTCCAGCTGGGGAATGTTATCCTCGCGAAAGCCGCAATTGTCGACGAGCAGGGGAAAGACGTGATTGTATTCGCGGCAGGCGTGCGTCTTGTAGAGCTTGGTCAGATTGCGGAAGATGATGCCCCAGGTCTCGATCTCCTCCTTGGTGTAGTCCACGTGGGGCAGCTGCTCGCCGTGCTTGTAGTTGTAGGCGATGTCCGCAAAGTATTTGCGGCGCTTGCGGTACTCGGGATCTGTGAAGCCGGGATGATCGGCGTCCAGCTCGGCGCCGTAGCTCAGGATCTGATTGGCGAAGCGATCCAGATCGCGTATACGGCGTGGAAACCAAGGCACTGCCGTGGCATTGTCCTTGTAGTCGCGCGAGATGATGTTGAAGTAGCTGCACTGCTCCTTCACATCCTCAATGGCCTTGCCCAGGGCCCCGGACTTGCCGTCGCACTCCACAAAGAACTCGTAGCCGGGCACACGGAGCGACGAGCGCGACTCGATGTGCAGCAGGTTGATGTCGTGCTTCTTGAAAATGGCCAGGGTATTGGCCAGGGCGCCGCTGGAAAGGGACGAGTCCTTGGGCGAGAAGAGCAGGCAGGTGTTTTTCGCCTCCCGCATGTCCACGCCCTCCGCTATGTACGCGGAGTCCTCAATGCGCGTTGGCTACAACAACAACAGCAACAACAACCATAAGCGAAGCAGTTAACACGAGTTCTTATCAATTCCTAGACTAATCCATTTGCATAATAGTCTGACTAGGCTATCAGTTAGGCATCAGCAGAAGTGTCCATCAATCAATCAAAACTAATGTTCTATATTATTGCATTCTCTATTCATATATGTATATATTTGTATATGTATATTCCTATGTATATGTTAGATGCGTCTTGGGAATTGCAAACAGATATTAACGTCAGGGAAATTTTATGGCATTGTTTTGTTGTTTTTTATTTTTACAATTTTTTTTTTATTCGCTCGGGTTACAAAGGTTAACATTAAACCAAGATCTAGCTAGATGCATATCGAAGGTTTCCATTCTAACCGCAATGCTCGACTGCAGGGCCAAAGCCTTAAACTGGCTTTTTATTGAGCACATATATATGCATAGAGATATTCTTTTTTAAACTGAGACTTGATTCTTGATGAATATTACAATGTAAGAATCTTGACATCATTTTAGAGATTTGCTTAGACTGAACTCTGAGTGGGAACTTAGGCGCAATTAGGACTTTAGCCAAGTTTAATTTCCAGAACCATTACCGATTCTCTTATATTAATCTATTTAAGCAACAAAAAGCTAGCAATGGCATACATAGGATTTCCTATACAAGTTCTTAAAGAATCTGCTTTTAAAATTTAGTCAAATCATAATTTATTTATATATTCATTCACAATATTCCAAGTTCGCTTTTTCTGCTCTATTATTTCAGCAGCTAAAAATCATAAGTTTCTATATATATAGACTCGATTAATTCAAATCATGTTGAATTCTAGATTGTGAAATTCACTGTAGAACTTTTGTTGTCCTTTTGCAAACAAAAATATTTTTATACTTATGCATATATACATATATTCATTAAATACCAATTTGTTTTTCTAATTTTAATATTCCATAGAAACTAGTTCTAATGGATTCAATATTATTCTCTCTCAAATATTTATAAATATTCATTAAATTTTGTTCAGAATTTACATTTCTTTAAAAGCTGGTTTAGAAACTCCTCACATATATTTAAGATTATATAGATATACCTGTACACCTATTAAATTACTCGCATTTAAAAATCAAAGAAAAACCTATTTAATTTTAGCACTAGTATTAATAATAATTTTAGCACTATAACTAAAGCCAATGTCTAAGACAAGAATTTGAACCCAGATTATCAATTCCAAATTATTATTATTATTTAATAATAAATAATTACAAGTCTTTCCATTTGTATAGAGATTAGCTTGATCTACAAAAAACTTCTATTGTTTTGACTAATTTGAACTTTGATAATTCAATTAAATTCAATTATAGTGAATGCTCTGCATTTGTTTGTCATAGATTTTGATCACTTTGCGTCAACTAATTATTTACGATTTAATTTGAAATGATTTTCACTTTTTATACTGAGTCTATATATAGTAGGGGAATTGCGTAGTGTACGAACCTTATCGAAGGAAACTTGTCGTTGGTACATATTGTACGACTCGATTGACCAAAAAACTATAGCTTATTAGCGAAACGTAACGGAACGGAACGGAACGAAACGAAACGAAACTGAGGCAAACGCACCGCAAAACACACGAGTTAAAACTGATTTGGCTTTTGAGTTATTCAGGCGCTTTTATAGACTCGCACAGTAGCCAGAGTGGCTAATCTCTGTCAACAATAATATCAACAATAACAACCAAAACTGAGTACGGAGAGGGCGATCGGAGATCAGAGCGGAGCAGAACAGAACCGAGCAGAGCATCCACATCGTAGGGTTATCAGCTGAGCTGGCGTCTTCGTATAGATCATTAAGTTGTCTATATGAGCGCGTGAGTACTATGTGCTAGTGGAACATAAATCTTATCATGGAATATGCGCTGCTTGGGGTATTTTTTAATAGTTCAAATTTTGCAAAAAATAAAAAAACTTTATGGGCTATAAAAAAATGATAAAAAAAAAAAAAAACAATATTTAAACTCAATAATCAATATTCTAATGACAAGTTCTAGCCAAACGAGTTCAACGGCATTTCTGCTCAATTATTGGAGGTAAATAAAGTTTAAAATGCGCGCGAAGCTTTCTAAAAACACAGCTCTAGTTTGAGTTCCACAATAATATTTTGATTAGCTCGGCAACCTGTCTTAGGTTTCTCAGCAACTGGCACACGCACACACACACACACACACATACATACATGTAGTGGCTTATCAAGTGAGCAGCAACAACAACGATTGCTGACCCGCCCAACTGCCCCAACAAACTGGCAAAGTGTGCAAAATCAGCTTTCATTCAATCTACGAGGCCTTTTTGTGTGTGTGGAACGTGTTTTGTGGAACGCATCTGCAGTACTCAGCTTTGGCGCCGCACTTGAGTGTGCTTGTACCAGAATCCAATAAGAAAATGCAAAGCTTTGACTTTTGACTGGAAATTAAATTTTATTGCTATCAATAACTATAAATATTAATTAAAAGGAACTATTTTCTTACATAATAAAAAATAGCAATTTATTTTTTATAATTCATTTATTATTAACAATATTAAGTATAAGTAAAATCAGATTAAAATAATAATAAATTTAAAAAAAATATTCTACAAAATAATACAACAAATTGTATTGTATATATAAATTTTTTTATATTTTTAATTTTGTAAAATATTTAATTTATTTATTTAGTATATAACATTTATTTAAATAATAAAATAAAACCCAGGAAATATTTGTACCTAAAGCACAAATGTACCATGATGAAAGCCATCAAATTTGAAGTACTTTTCTGCCTCCATCTCTATCACTATCTCTATCGCACTATCTCTATGCAGCAATGCATTCCGCGGCGTCACAAGGTCAACATTTAAGAGTTTTTTGTGGTTCGCTTTAATTCCTAGAAATCTGATGCAATATGTCATCAAATTTACACAAATCGAATTTTTGAGCTATCAGCGTATTTGGAGAACGGGGCTTTTGGGAAGCTTAAAGCTTCGTGATGTAAAGCGAAGAACGCATATTACATTCAAGATTTCTATCAGTTATCACAAATGTAAGACAACGAAGCTGTGATTCTTGTGTGTTTCGAATACAATGTCGACCTTCTGATAAATAAAAATGGAGACTGAAATATTTTCTGTAAAATTTCCTATTTATTTAAA